GAAAAGACAGTGATAATGACTTTGTGTTTGGAGGAAAGGTGTTTTTTCTCTCCCTATTTTCACGATGAACTCAAAGAAGGTTTATTACAGATAAGTAGAAGCCATTGGGTCTCTTTAGTCCCAGCAAAGAAGCCAGACCCAGTGGGAACTAGAACACCTAGAAGACCATTCAGAGCGCTCCAGTGTTCTGTAGGATGAGGTTAACCACAGTTAGGAGCCAACTGAGAGGGCTGATGAGAAATGTGTCTTGGGCTACCCTTTAAATGATGCGGTCTAGCACCTGGATTATTATAGCCCATCTAGTGATAGATGATAAACTGTGATAAACTGACTTCAGTTTTATTAGTAGTACTATGAGTCACCATCAGTCATAATTATTCACACTCAAAATTAACTCCTTGCTGAAATCTATTGCATATCCATACTTCTATTAGTATAACATTACATGTTCCCTGTAAAAAGCCCAATAGGATGGAAGCAAAAGGAACCAGCTGGACTTTCTTCCTTTGAAGGTTTTTGGGGGTGTTTTTTGCTGTTTTTGTTGTAGTGCGTGCTTGTTCATGCAGATCATTAACTGGATTATGTACACACTACAGGTTATAGCAGCTACAGGTTGAATTGTATAAGAGTTTGTAGAGACATTGTCAAAAGAAGATAAAGCCTGGAGTTCAACCAAGTTTTGGTTATATAGCGCCAGTTGACGACAAAGGTTGTCTTTGTATTGAAAGGTAATTACCCTGCAGTATTAGAGAGAAAGCCTCAATGCCCCGCTTCGTGACTGTGGGAAGGAAGAACTCCCTATTAAACAGGAAGAGACCTCTGACAGTGTTTCCCTGACCTTTCCTCTATGACCACCGCGTTCTGTCCATCCATCTTCATCCAGCGCAGGCAGAGTGCACCCTGGACAGGTCACCAATCTATTGCAGGGCTAATACTGAATAGAAGTGCCAGTTAACCTAACCAATGCATGCTTTTGGATTGTGGGAGTGAGCCAGGAGTCCCTGGAGTGAATCCATACAACCACCCCACACAGAAAGACCCTTGCTGGCCAGTGGTTTTGACCATCATCAACATTGCTAACCATCATACCGCTGTGCTGCTTGGACCACAATGAGGTTGAGCATCTTTAAATGAGTTTTTCCTGATGACAACATCTGTCTAGAAGTAAACATAAGATGCAGGAACTGCCAAAAACCACAGTTTGAAATATTACAGCAGAAATAATAGCTCTTTACAAACAACAACATTTCTTTCTATAGTTGTTTTAGCCCTTTGTGACAACTACACAGGGGATTTTCTTCAAACTCACCCACTAAACTTTAATAATGCTTTCACCATAAAGTGCAAGGCCACTTTTACAGATAAGTGGCCACTAGCTGTCTGCACTGCATCACCTCCTTTCAAGTCAGCAAACTTGAATGAGTAAAAATGCTCTAAAAAGATTTTTACACATTTTGTGATGCAATTATCAGACAAATTTTTGCCTGTGGGATCCACCCATACAGTATGGATGCTCTTTGTTATATACGCAGTATACATACATACATGCAGAACATTCAAAGCTTGAAAGCAGGGCTTCACTTCAACATCATAGTGCCTACATTAATCTTTTATTTAACATTCATAGCCATTGCTCAATATATTCTTTAACCTCGACAGGGTTACTAACTGAGCAGCACCTCAATCTTTGAGATTATGATAACATCAGACCATATTCTGTGGTTTTAATGGCAAGTTTGCAGAATTTTATCATGAAAGAACTTTAAGGTGAGCTGACAGCAGTTCTCCAGAGAGGGGAGCTCCGCTGCTATAAGCAACTGCCTCAGTATTGATATTCAGAGCTCGTACCTTTGGTGAATACCTCCAGATCTACGCTCTACAGAGGATAAGCGATCAGACGTCGGTGATCATCAGGGAGAATTACTCTTATATTCAACGAAACACAGCGTCTACATCTCATATGGACGATAACGATTTGTGGCCAATGTCTTCCAACATCTTCAGTGATCCCCAGAGTTTTAATGTTCAGCTGATGGTGACATCTCAAGGTGACAGCAACACTAGTTCAAAGCACCGCTGTGCAGCCTCACAGAGCTGCCAGCACGGTTAAAGACTCTTGGTTTGTTACCAGCATCAGCTTCTTGTTTGTTGTGTTACAAAATTAAGTTACAAAGAACCCCCCCTCTGTCGGTATGTTCATTAAATAGTTGTTGTGTGGCACAGCACAGACATTGATGTTATCAGGTTTTGTCATCCGCTCTCTGCTTCATCACAAATTACAGACAAGTCAACATCTCCCCGTGCACCATATAAATCAGTGAATGATTCTCTCATGCCCCCTGAGGTGGAGACAACTCCAGCAGAGGCGTGCGAGCTGAAATCGAAACCTGGCTGCCACTTTGCCATGGAGTTTCCTCTCCCCCACCTGCCTTATTTATTCATTTTGAAGGAGTGATCAAAGCCGATTTTCCAAAGAGCTTCCCACTGTTCTATCGTCAACATCTTCGGTCACAATTCTCAGCAATGAAAGCCCGGGTGTCTTTATGCTGTGCAGCTTGTACTGAACCCCTTGATCTCTTCAGCTCTGCTGGTAACCTCTTTTCCTCCCTGCTACAATAGCAATTTTCAAACAGGCAACAAATATGGAAACTACTCAACACGATTCCACAGTAAGTTTTCAAACTGCAAACCAAAAAGCCAGGCGATCAGAAGGAAACTGATCAATAACTTTTCTCTGTAACAGCCATCAAACAAAGAATGTGTCTGTAGGTATTTCAGACAACAAGGCTATTATCTTCAAAAACACTGTGCTGATTTTTCATTATTACTTTGTGTTGTTTTCACTGTTTGAGTTTACACACACACACACACACACACACACACACACACACACACACACACACACACGCACACACAGTTTTGCAGATTGCTGCTGCGTCTTAAAAGCGGTGGTCCCGATTGCTGCTCTTGAACACCATTTGCAGCATTTTAAATTCCTGTCACGATGAAAAGTGTGGCACCGTATCTGAATTTGCATATTTTTTTCCAAATCCAATTTATAAAAGCTTATCCAAATTCTGGTCTCAGCTCACCATAAAACAGCTCTACCTCCATGTGAATGCAAAGTTCCCACTGGTGAGATTCAGAAGCATCGTGTGGTCTGCCTGATTCTTTAATTAACAAATGTTCCATCAGAGGGATCTGCAGTGGCATTTTAGGACCCTTTGATCAAAACAAAACAGCACTTTCAGCGTAAATGTTGGGCAATTCATTTTTCCTAAGGGGTCACATGAGGTCATGGAGTCAATAAGCTAATAAAGAGATAACATAGAAGTGAATTAAGCTTATTGATGTGGGGCTTTCATAACAGTCCCAGTTTGACATGTAGCCCCTTGGGATAATTAATTGCCCATCCTTGAAAAGTAATGAATGCACGCATGCATGATTTTTAAAAAATATATAATGTTAAAAATTCTGTATGATTCTTGAACCTGGTCAAACAATCCAGACTAGTACAACTTATAAAATAACAAAACCAAATAACAGCAAAATGTCCTTTATGTGTATACAACATATCTTTATCTCAAAGTAATTAGTGGGCTACATAGAAAATACTTCTACACATTATAATGAAAATTTATTTTGGCCAGGTTCATGACTAAATATATATATATATATATATATATATATATATATATATATATATATATATAAGTGAAATAATCAAAATCTCAAGGTTCAAATAATAGAAAGAGAAAACCATGTAAAACCAAACTGGCCTTCTAGAGTGAGCGAGACCAGAAACATGATCAGCCCATTTTCTGGTAGCTATTATAAAAAACAAAACATAAAGAAAAAATTGACCCCACAAACACAACGACCCACCACCTAGCTGTCCAATATTAATAGTACTGGAAATTACCAAAATTATTTTTATATTTCTTTACCGGTTAATCCAAATGATGAAATTATATTTTAAATGCTAAAATACAATTATTGTTATTATCTATGAATTTTCAAATTGATTGAAATACAAGAAAAGGTGAAAAAAACCCCAGCAAAGCCTGTTTTTTTCTTTTTCTTTTGACAGTTATTTACTTCCATTTCTGACAAGAAAATGTACCAGCTAAATTTGGGTATAAAAAGGTGAATTTAATTCCTTACATGCCAATAAATGTAAAGACGTGTTTTTTTATTTGGTTTTTATGACAGGTGGTCTAAGAAATCTGCTAAGCACTGTATATCCCAAAAAGCGTTCAAATATGACTTCTGCGTAGTAGTAAAAATTATTATATGATAACATCTCACTTTATTTCCTGGGAAAATGTAGAATTTATTATGAAAAAATCATAATAAAAGAACAACTCCAAGTATAGGGGAAACAAAACTAATAAAACTGTATGCAGCGCTATGGTGTCTTATGCTACATTTTTTGGTAAGGATTCAGCTTACAAGATGATTTAACCACGAGTAAGGCACTAAGAGGAAGAGAAGAAGAGTATAGAGTAGAAGACAAAATAAAAGACACTTGAATTTTCTGAATATGGACGCAAAAAATGAAGTTTGGGTAAAATAACTAAAATAACTGTGCAGGAGATCAAATGCATCAAATGCACATTGACATCTACACCAGAGACTCTTCAGCATGTCAGTTTGTAACTTTTTGCATGAGGAAACTTTGAAAAGGATTATGTTTTACAGAGAGATACCAAAGGGTAAAAATCAAATATGCAGGATTTCTAAGGGGGCATATTGCAATGTATTTGATAAAATCCATTAAACCTAAAAGCTCAGCTCGAGACATTTAAGAGAAATGAGACAGCATGAGAAAATACACACACAGTACAAAGATTGTGGCCATGTATGCACAAAAGCCATAAACATCAAAACACAGACACGGGCATCCACACACGCACACACAAACGTGCGCACACTCGCACGTACACACTCGCACGTACACACTGATGCATTCCTCGTAGCTCTGCAGTGGTATTTTTTTCCGCGTTGGCTTTAGAGCGAGTCGACGCCATGCTGAGTGCTGAACTCCTGGAAATCCTCCGGGATGGTGTCTGCGGAAGTGACAAGTTAGGCGTTATGAGACAAGCTTAAAATCTCATATGCAGTGAGGTCAAACTAATTCTCTTCACAGCTGCAGTCTTTATGTAACAAGATGGAATATGAAGCTGTTGCAGACAACTAGTCTCAGAGGTCATGCAGCAAGATGCTGCACATTCCGTGAGGCTGAGAAAGCCCTTTAGTAAAATGTTGATCAGCATATTAGCATAGTTTTCTGCTAATTACCTGCACTAAACACCAAATTAGGATGGAGCTACTGACAGTTTTCTAGCATTGTTATCCCATTTGTAAATTATGTTGCAATGTTTGATTTCCTTACCATTGCAGCGGTATTTCAGATTGGACCAGATAATGTTTTCCTGCGAGAAACAGAACACGCCAAGTCGTCCTCCTCTCATGGTTGTGTCGATGGTCACGCCGGAGTCTGCAACCAGCTCAGTTCCTTCGTAAAAGCGGGCTCTGCACAAAGCACAACAAGGGATTTTTACCTTAGTTATTAAATTACAACTATTAAGACTAAGAAACAGCCAGCCTGGCTTTCCAATGGCTGAACATACAGTTTGCACCTACACACAATGCTGACCGTCTCATCTTGCTCTTGGCAAGAAAATTTAGGAAGCCGTAAGAATTTTATAATACCTGATGTATCCAACCTGTGGGCGGTGCTGCAGGTACCAGCGATAGGACACCTTATCCTTCCAGCCCACATTTCTCGGGTCCTTCCACAGCAGGCGCACTTGGTCGGTGGTGTCTCCCGTGTGCCACAGTGAGTTTCTCAAATGCTCGCCGGGGCCTGATCTAGACTTCACAGCCTAACGCAGAAGCAGAGACAAGTAAGGCGATTGTAGAAGCAGAAGGAAAACAAGAATGTGTAAAACAGGTCGAGTGAGTAAAACTAAAGTGAGATGACTCGCCCTCTCACCTTCAGCTGTATGCCGGGCTCGGCCACGGCTCTGAAGGGGGTTGCCTGCCAGTAGGTCTGTTCAGTCTGCTTCCACATCACCACGTAGAAGGAGGATGAGTCCTGGTAACCAAAGATGAAGCCAGCGTAGTCATCATCAGTGACTGTATTCACGTGAAAAGTCCCCTCAAAGTCCACGCCGCTGAAAGCCGTGTAACCTGACATCAGAAAGAGTAATTAGCGCATTAGATACGACGAGTAGTTTCTTGCACACAACACTAAAAGTGATATTCAGGTAAAAAAGCTAAATACACCTTACCGACAGCAAGTCCAGGATCACTATTCATGGTCTGAACGATTTCCATTCCCTGATAAGGAAGAGATGTTTTTAATGATGAATGATGCACCGTGAAACTTTTAATTTCAAAAGCTTGTATTTGCATTTCAGGTTTATTAAAATGTGCTTGCACACGTACTTTTTTTAGGCCATGAATTAAAGCTGCCGTGACTCTTTTTTTTCTTTTCTTTTTTTTTAACACACTGTAAACAACACGACCTTTCAAGTTGATCTGGCAAGTGCCCTATATACACATTTAGCAGCTCTGATTTTTTTTTCAGTTTCTGGCCACAAACTGAATACAGATCAGCACCCTGCTTTCAGCGTAATTTTTCTGTTCTTCCAGCTCCCGAGGGCAACATCTGCTGAACATTAGCTGCTAAATGCACCAACACGTTCATCAGCTACCGACTAAGTGTGTCTCAACATGTAGTGTAGCGTGGGTTTTTAGTTTTTTGGCAATAAAAGGCTGCCTGCTGGGCCAGAAATCTATTCAAGGAGAGTGGTAAGAGTGAACCAAAACAGCAAAGCTGGACAACAAAACACTTGGGGAAATCACAAAAGTCAAGTAAAGTCAAGCATGTGTATATAAAAATATCTGCCTATGATGGATAAATTTGAATGATCAGTGATAATAATGTTCATACCTGGTTCAAAACAACCCAGTTGGGGTCAATCTGGGCATCGCCCTCGGGGTCCAGCACAACAGTCTGATAGGCCCTGAAGTCAGTCAAGGTAATCTCGGCATTTTCAGGACAATTATCAATCCTGTCTATCACTTTGTCCTGGTCAAAGTCAGACTCACAAATATCTCCAACACCGTCACCTGAAAAGTTAAAAAGTACAGTTAAAAATTTGGTGCATGAGTAGTTTCAAATCTTTAATTTACTTTGGAAACACAATAGTGTATGATCAAAATATCTCAGAAGCTGTGCAACCTCATTGGATAAATGATCTCAAGTACTGTACTTTGTCACTACACAATAGCCAGCCTTGATAGCCGGGGATAGACCGCCAGGGCCTCTGCTCGATGCGTTTCACCCGACCCCTTTAGTGACTCCTGTGGGTGGTGGAGGGCAGGCCTATGCTTAATCCATGTGAGCTAAGGGCCAGCCACCAGCCACTCTCCTTCAAGCTCCCTCCACAGGCCAGGGTCCAGGGTGGGGCTACGGTAACCCTGCCCCGGGTAGGGTGACCTGGTCCATTAACTTCTCTCCTTTCCTGAATCTGAATGGATAATGACTGACAAGAATGAGCTTTCTCTGAGGGGCACCTGAGATGGGGCTAGTAATTCATTCATTCATTCATTCATTCATTCATTCAAGCAAGGGCTCAGAGTGGAGCCACTACTAAACACTTTAGTATCTGACAAGGATGTCTCTTGGGCACCACCAGGGAGAAGGCCCCATGAAAGATCACGGGGACACGCTGGAGCGATTATATTTTTTGGCTGGCCTGGGGACACCTCAGTTTGCCCCTGGATAAGCTGTAGGAGGTGGCTGGGGAGAGGGAGGACTGGGTTGCTCCGAATAGGCTGTTGCCCCTGCAACCCGGTCCCAGATAAGCACATGAAAATGGATGAATTGATGCACTAAATGTTGTCACACAGTTTTTAAAAAATTGCTGAAAAATTAAGACCTTTTAGTGAAGCTCACTGCAGTCCACACCCTCCAGTACGACAGACATATACTGATATGGCTTCTCGCTGAGTCTTTAATAAGTCAAAATCAGCTCTGAATGTGTCTGATTCTTCCTAAATGCTGTACCGAGACACAAACATAAGCCGTCCACGTTTGCAACTGGGATTTTGTGATAACCATACATTATTCTGTAATGTTGAACCACACATAATGTTACGAATGGACTGCTACCTTTCAGTAACAGTAGTTTGTACAGGCTCACAGAGTGCACGATTGAGTAGAAATCTAGAAAAAAGATTACAATGTCAAAGGGAACCACTTTGCTTTTATGTAGTTGGTGGGAATTATGAGAGTGCCACACATCAAAGGCCCCTGAATGACAGCGAGGGGGAAACAAAATCTGTGAGGGCAGAAAGAATGAATCACTTTGTTGTGTGGAGCAAACAGCAACTAACCACCAGACGACACACAAACGAAAGAAACCTTAATCACGACACAGGCTACGTGCTCTGCTCAACAGGGGACAGCAATAGCCCTGGATGGCAGTTACAAAAAACAAAACCCTCTGTGCGATAAACTTCAAAAGAAAACCGAATCTAAATCAAAGGGAGCAATACCATTTCTTAATTCATAGGTCTAGATGCTACATATTAGCTGGCAAAAATACATTTGTCTAACAGTACAGCTTTGGACACATGACATTTAAAAGGGCACTGATTATTAAATAAAAGCAAATATCTGACTTTTGAGTTTTGTTAGGCTATTAAAACTGTGCTACTACCACAACTGGCTACACAAGAAAAAGTTGTGTGTTGTAATAATGTAAGTAATGGTCTGTTAACTCTGCCTCGCTGAACTCTGACTGCTGGGAAAAAATGGCCTTGCCCCTCTTTATTTGAATTGACACTCCACTCCCATTAGTTTCAGAATCCATTTTCACACAAGTAATGTCACAGCGAGTCATAAAATTGGCGAATGAGTTTAGGCTCGCAAAAATTGCGCTTTTTTTTTCTCCTCACAAAAATTGCCACTTAATCTGCCCAAGGTTGCTACTGTTTGATCCGCGTGAGTGTGAAATAAATAATGTCAGTAACAGTGCAGGGGGAAGAGAGACGTTCTCCCGAAATTATGATCATTAATCTTTCAGCATCAATCTGCTTTTTAGCCAAACGTCTCAACAAAAACAACTGAACATCCCTACAAACTCATTTTTTTTAATTATCAGGGGACAATCTGAAACTCACTGTTATCATCAATCTGATCAGGATTTGGTACCAGCCGGCAGTTGTCTGGACCCGGTGGTAAAACATCCGGTATCCCGTCGTTGTCATCATCGTCATCGCATTCGTCACCCAGCCCGTCTTTGTCAGTGTCCAGCTGAGAGCTATTGATCACGAGTGGGCAGTTATCCTTGGTATCCTGGTGACCATCGCCATCACTACACAGGAAGCGACGCAGTGACATGAGTTAAATTGAAATAAATGAATAAAAGCTATACTGGTACTGTAGATATCAAGATAGTGTTATCACCTGTCTTGGTTTGTATCACAGGAATCCCCAACCAAGTCATTATCAACATCAGACTGAAGAGAGAGCAGACAGCAATGAGACAAGTGTGAAAATACAACTTTAATCCTGCAGTTAAGATCTTATTTTTGTAAAGGTAAATGCACAGTGCAAACAGCTTCGTTCAGCAGTAATATGGACCTTTTGAATGACATATTAGAACTGCAAACTATAGAACAAACTGCATTTATCTGACTTTTCTCTGATCATTAGATAATTTTTCCTTTTATTTCAAAGAAACTGTTAGTGTTTTTTTACGGAGCACAGAATGTTTGAAGCACTTCAACAGTGTGTTGATAGTATATTTTTGTATTTCATAAGATGTTGAATTTGAAATCTCATATCTCACTCATAACTATAGTGGTTAGATAAATCTAGTGAATCAAACACTAAATACTACGAGCAAAATCAAATAAACTATCCTTATGTCAGTTTATTTAGTTAATTTACATGACCGCCATACATCCACCTGTATGACTGACCTGATTTGGGTTGGGGATGTCGGGGCAGCTGTCACAAGCGTCTCCCACCCCGTCTCCATCCCGGTCCAGCTGGTCTCTGTTCTGGACACGCTGGCAATTATCCAGGAAGTTCTTCAGACCTGCACATCGATCAGGTGACACTCATTTAACACTCAAACTGCCACCAAGTGGGTTTATAAAATATATAAATGTGCAAAGAATTTGATGAGCAGTCAGTTAAGTCAACAAAGACTGTAAATCCTGCATGTCAGCTGTAAAGATGTGCATTTGTTTGCTTTCTGCGGCAGTGGACTGAATACCTTGCTTTAAAAGACAGATATGAGTTTGGGTCACTATTTTCCAGGAAATAATCAGCAGTATTCTTTGTAATATAATCACAGCAGCATACCTGTGGAAAGCAAGCTGTATTACTGACAGAGTCATCTTTATCATGAAACACGAGCAATAGGTTTATGCTGCTGTCTCACTAAAGAAATGATTTTATAAGCTGATCTTTCTAATATCACCACTAGGGTGCACTGTTGCATTTTCTATGTTGTTCCGGAGAACCTGCATTCAGATGGTATTTTACTTCATCACAGGGAGGCAGTAGCAGCACTACTAATGCATAAAGGTCAAGCAGCAGCAGTGGAAGGAAGAACTATCTTCTTGTCCTGTGGGGGCTTCATGAGGTATAATCACGCTGTTGAGTGATCAAAGGTTGTACTCGCTTTGGGGTCAGCCTGCTATCGGCTTTCATCATTTATTTTTTTCTTTACGGTGTTGTTTATTCAGCCTGAGCTGGCATACAAAATCTATCCTAATATAAAGTGATGCATTTAAACAACAAAGGGATCTGTAACTAACTATAAAAGTTGCACGCATCCTTGTGAGTAATTCACTACGAGACCACAGCAGTGGAATCATAAAAGGGAGTGCAGGGTAAGAAGTCATAACAGCAAAAGCCTCCAGTGATGTTGATTATATAACAAGAGCGTCAGCATCAGTGATGTCATTTCTCTCCTCACCATCTCCATCCATGTCATCATCACAGGCGTCCCCTTTGCCATCACCGTCAGTGTCCCTCTGGTCGGGGTTCTCCACCAGGCGGCAGTTATCACAGGCGTCGCCGTGGCTGTCCTTGTCGCTGTTCCTCTGGTCCACATTGGCTTTTAACCTGCAGTTGTCCTGATGAAGAAGGAGCGTGTGCACATATTCATTTATGAGTCATGTGAGTGGGTAATATGGTGGGTAAAGCGTAAGCCTCTGTATGCTTCAGGGCTGAAACCTTTTCGATTTTTATGAGATTGATATCACTGTGCATCTTATTATAAAAGATGAAATCTTTTGTTTGTTTCTTTGGCTGCCTGTACTGTCAACATGATTAGGAGTAGCCAAACTTAGCACATAGGTACATCTTAGCCCCCGATTCGTATTGTTAGGGATATCAGTTAAAATCATCATGTTGCTTTGCAACAACCTGGAAGTGAACTAAAAACAAAACAGTTTTTGGTCATATAAATGACATCTACTGCCCACACTTTTAACTTTTCTCAGTGTCATTAAGCATGTAATTTTGCCAACAGCAGAAAAAAGCCAAAAACAATAACCTAGCATGGACATGTACTACAGGGGGTGCAGAATTATTAGGTAAATGAGTATTTTGTCCACATCATCCTTTTCATGCAAGCTGTATAGGCTCGAAAGCCTACTACCAATTAAGCATATTAGGTGATGTGCATCGCTGTAATGAGAAGGGGTGTGGTCTAATGACATCAACACCCTATATCAGGTGTGCATAATTATTAGGCAACTTCCTTTCCTTTGGCAAAATGGGTCAAAAGAAGGACTTGACAGGCTCAGAAAAGTCAAAAATAGTGAGATATCTTGCAGAGGGATGCAGCAGTGTCAAAATTGCAAAGCTTCTGAAGCGTGACCATCGAACAATCAAGCGTTTCATTCAAAATAATCAACAGGGTCGCAAGAAGCGTGTGGAAAAACCAAGGCGCAAAATAACTGCCCATGAACTGAGAAAAGTCAAGCGTGCAGCTGCCAAGATGCCACTTGCCACCAGTTTGGCCATATTTCAGAGCTGCAACATCACTGGAGAGCCCAAAAGCACAAGGTGTGCAATACTCAGAGACATGGCCAAGGTAAGAAAGGCTGAAAGACGACCACCACTGAACAAGACGCACAAGCTGAAACGTCAAGACTGGGCCAAGAAATATCTCAAGACTGGTTTTTCTAAGGTTTTATGGACTGATGAAATGAGAGTGAGTCTTGATGGCCAGATGGATGGGCCCGTGGCTGGATTGGTAAAGGGCAGAGAGCTCCAGTCCGACTCAGACGCCAGCAAGGTGGAGGTGGAGTACTGGTTTGGGCTGGTATCATCAAAGATGAGCTTGTGGGGCCTTTTCGGGTTGAGGATGGAGTCAAGCTCAACTCCCAGTCCTACTGCCAGTTTCTGGAAGACACCTTCTTCAAGCAGTGGTACAGGAAGAAGTCTGCATCCTTCAAGAAAAACATGATTTTCATGCAGGACAATGCTCCATCACACGCGTCCAAGTACTCCACAGCGTGGCTGGCAAGAAAGGGTATAAAAGAAGAAAAACTAATGACATGGCCACCTTGTTCACCTGATCTGAACCCCATTGAGAACCTGTGGTCCATCATCAAATGTGAGATTTACAAGGAGGGAAAACAGTACACCTCTCTGAACAGTGTCTGGGAGGCTGTGGTTGCTGCTGCATGCAATGTTGATGGTGAACAGATCAAAACACTGACAGAATCCATGGATGGCAGGCTTTTGAGTGTCCTTGCAAAGAAAGGTGGCTATATTGGTCGCTGATTTGTTTTTGTTTTGTTTTTGAATGTCAGAAATGTATATTTGTGAATGTGGAGATGTTATATTGTTTTCACTGGTAAAAATAAATAATTGAAATGGGTATATATTTGTTTTTTGTTAAGTTGCCTAATAATTATGCACAGTAATAGTCACCTGCACACACAGATATCCCCCTAAAATAGCGAAAACTAAAAACAAACTAAAAACTACTTCCAAAAACATTCAGCTTTGATATTAATGAGTTTTTTGGGTTCATTGAGAACATGGTTGTTGTTCAATAATAAAATTATTCCTCAAAAATACAACTTGCCTAATAATTCTGCACTCCCTGTAGTTTGGGGTGAGGGGGAATTCAGTGCCACTTGGCTCATATTTCTGCACATAGCAAACAGCAACTTTTGTCCCTTAAGTATAAAAATTTGCAGTTCCTCTTTAAGAGTTAAAGGTATACTTTATAAAGGATTTTGGCTTTGTTTGATGGTAATTAAACACACTCTAAATATCGGATGTTCAGTTTCTCCAGGCAGTTTAATTTGCTTTAAGTCTTTTTCGTAAGCCAGCATTAGCATCCCAATGCATCTTGCTAATCTAAAGAGCAAGCGATTCCCCTGATGTCAGCAAATGGTTGTATCCACACCAAACTTGTGGCTTTGTAAAGGTAGCCAGTGGGTGACCTCAAAGTTGCTACATCCACATTTCTGTGCATAAATGTGGTGTCTGTGGATATGATATGTTAATAGGTGAATTTGGAAAACAGCGGCAAGTGGATTTTGTAATCTTTGGACAGAGCTAGGCTAGCCCCTTTGCCCACTTTACAGTCGTAAAATAACCGTCTGCCAGGAGCAGCAGTCATTTTAGTGCACATACACATAGGAGGTATTAGTACTTTTACAAGCTTAATCAATCTAGGAAAATTAGCAAGACAAACAAAAATGAGAATCTTTAGGTATAATATGTTTTAGAGGCATTTGTTGCGAGATAGCCACCGACCTGTTCGTTTGGAATACCATCGCCATCTGCATCTTCATCACAGGCATCTCCATAACCATCTCTGTCGGCATCCTCTTGACCAGAGTTAGGAACAAAGACACAGTTATCCTGCAAAGACATGTGACAGTATGATGATTAAATAAAGATATACCTGCCACAGCAAAGCTGCTAATCTTGACAACTTGCACCATGGTTACCTTTCTGCAGTTTGGATCTTTGCATTTGAGTTTCTCATCTGGATATCCATCAATGTCCGTATCCTTTCCACACAGGTATCCATTTCCAGCCCAGCCAATTCCACACTGACAAGACAAATGAAGCTTCTTACAAACTCATTCATATACTGCACATAAGCATTTGAGTGATGAAGAATATTACCTGACAAGAGATGGATCCGTCTCTTTCTACAATACACTGAGCGTTGACATCACAGGGGTTGGTCAGGCTGTTGCCACAGCTGATCTCCGGCTTACAGCCCTTCACCTGATCTCCTGTGAATCCTGACTTACAGCTACCACAGTGATAGGAGCCCTGTGCGGGAATTATCACAACTGCACATGAGCATCTTTGAGTAGCAATAAAGACCTGTAGTAATGGTCATACAATACATCAACGGTGTTCTTACCGCAGAGTTGTGGCAGTTCGAGTTTGCAGTACAGCCTCCATTGTCAGGTCCTTTGCATTCATCGATGTCATCGCAGACCTGGATTGTAAAAAAATGAGCAGACTGTAACAACTTGTTCAGATTTAATTGCTCCAAAAATAAGTGTAAAAAATACGCCCCAAAACAAAACAAAGGATGCCATATAAATCCTCTAAAGCACCGAAACAGCTGAAGCTGTGCTTTATAATACTTACAGTATTAGAGCACAAATTAAAGTGGGAGTAATTTATGCACACCGGGTATTTTAGGTGTTTATTTTGTAGGAATCTAAAATGCATTAAAAGGGTAAATAACACGCTGCAGACTGCAGGTCATATTTACAAATTCGGAGCAATAAATAAGCATGGAAGTAGAACGTAAATCAGCAAATTAAAAAAACGATATCCATCTGTTCCCGCCAATCAGGATCTGGTGCATCAAGATAAACATTTAGTGTGGCTAATCCTGTGTGACATGATGGAGATAATGAAAGCAGTCCAACGAGGTGGAAAAGTTATGTTTTCTTCATGTTTTAAATTTGGTGTCTTCATTGCTCTCGACCAAGTTTGTCAAACATAAGGCACAGGGGCCAGAATTGGCCCGGAGAAGACAAACCGACCCACTGTATGGTGTTGGAAAAAAGTGAAGTTGGGTAAAACTCTGGAGTTTTAACTCATTTGTAAAAGTAATGCAATTTTTCCTACTGATAAAGACCGTGCCCGTGGCCATTTACACAACACTAAAGTAATTAAGTAATTAATAAACAATTACTTGTGCCAATAGATTTCTTTCATTCACTACAGCTGCATTTCAGGTAGAAAAACTGAGATTTACCACTGAAATTGCCCTTTTCCTTATATTAAGATATCTCAAGGATTCAATGGCCCGGCCCTCTTGAGGTCAAAGTGGGTTCTATGCAGCACATGATATCTAATGAGCTTGACAGACGTGATCTACTGGCTGACTGGACTCCAGTGAAAACCCCCATAGGTTTGTGCAAACTTTTTTAAACACCTAAAGTAAAAGTCACTTGTGTTGGCACATTTATTGATTGAACTTTTTTGCTCTTTTAAAGTGAGAACCCTCCTTTATTGTTTAAATGCTTAAATAAATAATTTTATGGTAAGATCAACAACATATTGCAATCTGGTGCTGGATTCAGACTACATTTAAGTCCATTTTTGTGTATGTGTGTGTGTCTTTTTTGATATACACTGATAATAATATTCTGTTTCCTTCATGATGCATCCACTGTCTTACCTGTTTATTGGTCTGAGCGTACACTATGCCCACACCCTCCACTGGCAGGCCGGTGTAGCCCAGCGGACAGGCGTCACAGCGGAAGCCTGGGGCAGTGTTGACGCAGCGCACTCCAGGAAAGCAGGGGTTAAACTGACACTGCAGAAAGGACATGAACTCTGTTGAGCTGCAAAATGTATGTGGTTCTCAAAGGGCTTCTCCCCAAAAGCTTTTAGGTCTGATGACATTGCTCATGCAAGAAAGAGAATGCTGAAGGGCCCAGTCCTCAGAAAAGAGGTCAGTGCAAACAGAAAAGACAGACAGGCAAACACACAATCTTGTATTGCCATCCTTATAAGGTTCTCCATCTTGTTTTAGAAAGTTCTACCTTTACCTGCTTTTTTTGGTCATAGTCTAAATTATAGAACATTAGCCTGTGTGAAATATCTTTGCTTCTCATGTTCCAGTTTAATGGACCCACTGCCATTCAGTCTGTATATGCTGAAAATGGTGAAAAATACAGTGAGATGCATTTCTTTCACCTATAAACAGATCGTCAAAAAAGTCATTTATGGATCAATTCTGGAGCCACCATTATTCAGTGACATCAAGGTGTATTTGAGTGTACTCCTTAATCGCAGCCTGTTAATTCACACTGTTTCTCATCGGGATCCAAAACCACTAATATGAACTTGCTGCTATGCCAAATAGATACACTCAAAACATTTATCTGTCTTTACCCTAGCTATAATCTCATAAACCAGCAGCCCAAGTAGTAGCCATAAAATACTCGAAAGGATGTCGACAGTTTGCCCTTACACCACAGGTCGTAAATTTATATTGATTGTCATGAGGACAGAAGCATGGCAACACACACACACGCACGCACACACACACACACACACACACACACACACACACACACACACACACACACACCGATATTGAGCTTTACCTCGTCGACATCATCACAGTTAAAACCATCTCCAGTGTACCCATCAGGACATGGTCCACATTCAACACCTTCTGCTGTTTCTATACACATGTCGTCACGGAAACAGACACCCGGTGCACACCTTGGCTTCACCACCTCTGTGCCACCTAGACCTTTAAATAGGAGGAAATAAATTTTTTTTTTTTAACCATCTGTTATTCATTCAGTAATATCAAAATATCATGTAGGCACGGATACTGATAAGGATGTACTGATACCATTATCACGTGCGATCTGCTAATAGGATAACTAATTTATTGAGAGAGTTTTGAGTCTGAGGGGTCAGTGCAGAAACAAAGCAAAAAGAAAGTCTTCCATTAAATTAAAATGTGCACATTTGTGCCATTTTAATTTGCATTGTGACACAACATGAGATAATGAAAAAAAAGAAAGTGATCAGCTGTGATAAATTAAACAATTGGAAACTGGTCCTCAATTTTCCTCTCTACAATGACTGACAGCTACTATAGACATTATCTTACCACAGGCCTGACACTCTGAGATGGTATTCCTGAGAAAGGATGTTTCTTTAACCTGGAACGGGTCAAAAATGAACAAAAGTTTATATTCAGTCAGGCGAGCTGTCAGGGAGGTCAGGATTGACGGAGCAGAGATTAAGTGGCCTCAGAGGGACTGCTAAGAGGTGGTTACCTGCTGAATTAGGACGTCTTTCAGCTCATTTATCACCTTCGTTAACTCCAGCATTTGATTGGACAGCTGCTTTGTGTTGACCCCTGAGGGAGAAGGACTGTTATTTTATTCAGCTGAAACAGAGCTAAGGGCTTCTCAGAGTCTGCCCCCCTTTGACTCAACATTTCCTATCGCTGAGAGTGTTTTCACTGACATTTCCACAGAAAGAACCTTACCCAGAGTCTGAACTGAGTCTCTTTGCTGGAAGTGGCAGTCTTGTAGCGACGCAACGTTTTCAAATGAGTCCCCAACCACCAGCTTTAGTTCATCTAAGCTTTCCTGTTTAAAATCAATCGAGTGAAAGTGCACAGCTAAGCCATCTGGAAACCTACAGAGTCATTATCGTGACAGAAGGGCATTCACTATTGTGTGGAAATATTGTAAGCGATGGCTCACCTGCTCTCTGGCTTGCATAGTCTTTAGTTCCACTGTGCCATAGCCTGCTGGCAAACCCTGGAAGGCAGCAGGAAGATCCCTGACTGTCTCCACCAGCCTGCAGTCCAGATGCAGCTCCACCCCACCTGGCCCCTGCTGCTGCAGCCCCCTGAGGTGGAACAGCAGTCGGTGTTGCTGGCCATCTGCCAGCACCAGGTTGTTGAATGTGACAGAGGCCATCCTCTTGTCACTCCTCAAGTACCGTAACACGGCTTTAAGAGGACACGGCATGGAAGAGGAAGAAGGAAGAAGAGGTAATGAATAGAGCAAAATTGACTGTGTTGCTGTAAAGGGTTTATGTGATGTTAAGCATTGATATTGTTTGCTATTTGTTTCTCTATCTGTGCTTGGATTGCGTCTTAGCACATAGCAACAGCAACGTCATTATTTGTGTAGCTATTTGGCCACAACCAAAATAGTTTGGGGCACAAACTCAGTACAGTTCATTATGTGGGGGCAAACACTGTCTGCTGGATTTCAGGTCTGTCTGCAGAGTCTTTAAACATTATCACGTTTAATCCATTTTTAATATGAAGACATTGATTGGCGTAGCTTTAAACAACCAGCGCCTCTTTGATGTCCTCCTACCTCGGTTGAGCTTCCCCATCACTGTGAACTCAAAGTACTTGCTGTTGTCCCTGGGGTTGTGCAGGCCAAACACAGTGGTTCCGGTCTTGGGCTGCAACTTGAAGGAGGTTAGGATGAAAGCCTCGTTCACCCCTTGCCCGGTCAGGCCCCCCTGCAGCAGGTCTGGCAGGCAGTCGGGTGAGGTGAGCAGATCGTAGACTGTTGAGACAGATAGCAAGGCAGGGAAACGGGAAAGCACATGAGTAATGGATGATGTGAATATTTACAACCCGCAGCGGCGCTCTGATCCGAGAGTAAACACATTCCGAGTCGACAAGAAGAAGATGATGATGTTGACTCAGCATTAGATGCTCTAGCAAGACGCTGTGTCAATCAGTCAGCGCAAACTTGGCAGGCTGGGTCGGCTCAGGCAAATCAAAAGGAGGCGGATTTGTAAGTAAACAGCATACAGTGACGTTAGATGTGTGCTGTTTTTATGATCTTCTCTTAGGTTTGTTTTAAAACTGTTTGAATTGTAAAATGAGATGGAGCTTCCGCTTGCAGACAAAAGCACAGTGAAATTTAGATGTTCTGACTCAACTGACAGGCAATTTAAAAGTAAAAAGCCAGAGAGGAGCAGAACACTGGTGCTCATGGTCAGAGTCTCCTTTTAATAAAGTGGCTTGGGAGCTGGGCAAACCACAAGAGGATGCGCATTGAATCTCTAGTCCCGCATCTGCACCATCGTGAATACACAAGTACCACTGAAACGGTCTGCACGGCCCTCTGTCGTGAGGGAGCAGAAATTGCTCCCAAATGCTTCCGCTGACTGTTGTCAGCCAAGATTGCCCCAGATGAGATCTCTCGCTTTTTCTTTTATCTCTCTCGTCTGCCTGGGGTCCCTTGTGTTTTGTCAGACACAACACAGAGCCTTTAAATATGTGCGCAGATAAGTGAGACTAAGCCACCGAAATGCCTGCTTGCACCGTGCTGTCAACACTACTTCCACTAAAAATGTAAAGCTTTTCGAATCCTTTGTGTTTGGTTTTTATCAAGATAAGAACTTTTTAATATATAAAAAAAAAAGAAAAGAAAAGAGAACAAAGGAAGCTCGATGTGTGCATCGTGTCTTTAGTGGCATCCACACACACGAAGCGCACAGTCCTGCTTTTCATAAGTCTTCTGGACAAAGGGCTTCGCAGGGTCAGGGCTGTCTTACACAGGAGACCCTGAGAAAGTGTCTCACTTCACCCCCCGATTAACCTCAGATTTCAAGCTTCATAAAACTAGTTCAGCTGAAAGCCATAAAGGAAAACAGTGTCTTGACCTTTCCTTAACACCAGCATATAAATCTGTCACGGTGCGATTACTGTAAAGAGTGCAAATGGCTGGCATTCCTTGTTTTAGCATTTCAGCACACGCTTCGCACTCGAGCATTTCTGTGTGGCAAGCTTTAATTTATCGCATCACATTTAAAGGCCAGCCATAACAGCAGTGAAGTAATTACGTTAACAACATCGTAGTGTATAGAACAGAAGAAGCAAAGTCACATTTAGCCAAGAGTCATCTAGCTACCCAGGACCAAAACCATGATATTCAAACAATATTAGGCTTTTATGTGTATTTTTTTAGACATTTTTAAACATCACATGGCATATTGTCACTTTTAAGATGTGTAAGTGTTTACAAATGTAACTACACGTGCACTCCTACTTTACTTCTGACACTAGCTTTCCTTTTGGCTTCCATTAAGTCTTGAATAAACTTGAGTAAAAACTAAACTAAAATAAGTATAAACTAAGTAAAAACGTGCTTTCAGCATTTCTCTTGCTATTTTTGCATTGCTGTATGTGTTTTTAATTGATTTACTTGTTAATACCCTCGATCTTTAACATTACGGTGCGATAATGTTGGAAAGCAGATCACATGGTCTGTGCTGACATGGGGAGTTGTTATAAACCCAGAAACCCACTGCACTGATGTCGCAGCTTCAAACAAGAACAAAGCACACATTGAGCAGTGTCCAAAAGCTTTCCCCCCCCCACTGTAAACACAGAGCAGTATTCTGTAATGTGTATTTCTCCAGGAGACCATCATGATTCTGCGCTGACACTGTGTCTATTCTTAAAAAGTGAAACTAAATAAACTGGATGAAATATATTCTGTTGGATGAGTGCAGCCTACGTGAATCAATGAATCAGCTAGCCGTGTGTACATTTACAGAAAGATATATTCACGTAAACACAGAAACTCTATGTGTTATTGTCATTATCACTGATTTAGGTTACGTTTACTTTCAGCTTTGTTCTTAGATCCACGCTGACATTTGAATTGTAAGCGGAAGAAAAATGAATGGAAAAAAGTTGCTGGCTTTGACTTTCTGCCACCTGTTATCATTAATTCCCCCTCTCTTCTACAGCGTGTCTTTCGTCCTGTCCCCCTCCTCTCAACCCCAACTAGTTGTGGTGGACTCCTTATTGGTTTGTCCCGGAGGTTTCCTCCTGTTAAAAGGGAGTTTTTCCTTCCCACTGTCGCCAGTTACTTGCTTGTAGAGGGGCATTTGATTGTTTGGTTTTTTGCTCTATTAATGTAGGGTTTTGTTTTTTTTACAATATAATGCACCTTTACTATATAAGTAAAAACTGAATTGAACTGAACTTGTCAGCTGAGCTAAACAGTGAGTTAAGACTCACCATAAACTCTGCAAAGATAAGCAGAGCTGGATATTCCCCCCTTTTACCTCATTTTAAAGTTTGATATAGCTCGGCCTGGAGGATGGCCCAGAGGAAAGAGAGTCCGCTTTAAACTTCAGTAATATCATCTCTCAGTGAGCCATCCTTGAGATGTTAATATTAATCAATAACATAGATAACGCTTATGGAATGTCATTTTTGAGCACCTAAAACCAGACTTGGCTGGTTTAAATGGATCTCACTCCTTGTTTTGTGGTCACGCAGACAATGAGCCTGAGAAATGATAGATGACAAACTCCATTAATCTGGACTTGTTTTATACATACCATCAGGCACCTATTTGCCAAAAGACTCCAGGGATTAATGGGCATTTTAAAGGTATGCCATCAATCACCTGGTGGGGTTTGCAAGAAGGGCGATAAACTCTAAACGCCAACATTTCTATGCGTCGCGTAGCCCCGAGTTTGTGTGTGACCTTGAATAAATGCGGGCGCGTGCGTGTGTGACTGCAAGCACGTGTCAGACAGTGTGAGAGAGAAGAGAGTCTTGAACTTCAGTACTGCACCCAGATCATCTCTGATTATTCCCATGTGTGTGACCCAGCTGGGATTTTCTTTAAATTAAAACGAGCCAGGAAGCTGAATCTCCCGAGCCGAAGTAATCAAGCAGATCTGGCTAGATGGATATCAAAATCAGGATGTCTTTACTTCAGCGGAAAGATGGTGGGATTTAATACTCAAACTTTTGTCTACTTTTAATATTTTTTTCTTATCTTTGCCTGCTTCCTGTCAGAAACACACACACCCAGCCCAAATAAAAGCATTTGACTGCCCCATATCTTCTACAACTCACTGGGATATTTAGCATTTTATTCGCACCTCAGCGAGTATCACACACATTGTCTGATCTTTTTGTGTTTGGGCCTGCATATCATATTCTCTTTCACAGTGTCTGCTTCATCTATAATGCATTAAAACTCATACATAAGTGTGTTAAAATACTGAGAGATGGAGCCATTGAATCTTTTCTGACAGCTAATGAAAATGGACGATTACATTGCAGGCAGGGTGTCAGAAAGAAAAAAGAAAAAAGAAACCTTAAAGACATCGTTCCTTATGTGTGTTTGTGTAAACCTAAAAAAAGGAAAGATGTTTTTCCACTTCTTGATTTTTTTGTCATCCCAAGCAGCAACCATATAATCCAAATAAAAAAAAATGCAGTGACATTTAAATAACTGACATAAAAGCGACTCAAAACACTTCAAAAAAAGAAAAAAAGACACTCACCCAAAGCCTGTGCTTCCACGTGTAAGCACATTTTTAATAGCAGCTGCAAGGCCAGTGTGAGGGCCGTCCACACGTTCATTTTGTCCTTCCAACTGGTCCCAGATCTGCAGTTCTCTTTGTAGCTACTTAAATGTGTCTGAAACTCCAGCAGTTTCCCCCCGTTGAGGCGTATCTGTGTACTTGTCTTCCTTTCTGAATCAAAAATGAGGCAAAACTGTCATGTTAAGCCTAATAGAGGGTGCTGACTGCTTTTATGTGTGTGTGTGTGTGAGAGAGAGAGGGAGAGTGTGTGAAGAAGGGATTGTAGGAGTCTTATTGAGGGAGGAGCAACAGGGCCAGAACCTGCTTTTAAAACCCTCCTCAGGCGGCCCCATGCAGAGAAGGAGTGACCTAGGAAAACTCTTTGCATTGGCTCCTGCTGGCTGCTACCAATTCCCACAGGCGCCTTCACAAATCTGCTGTACACGGTTTGCTCCCTTTAGAGTCTAGGAACCCACGTTTGGCCACCAAAAACACGTTTCAAACCAGACCGGAGTCAGAATATTTTTAGACTCTTGAGTTCAAGCTTGGGGTGAATTTCTGAAAATGTGTTTCCCACTTCCAGCAAACAGACTTCTAGTATTTATTAACACTCTGCCTGAAAAAACTAAAAGACAGATTTTTTTTAACTTTCCTTACAGGGATCAGATGTAACACCTTTCCTATCTGCCCCTGGTTGCCACTTCCATCCCTGGGCAAGGTCAGGAAACAAGCGCTCTGCTGCTCGTGCCTCAACAAGCCGCGTTAAGCGGCCAGTAGAGCTTCAGACAGGCTGCTGGCTCACATGGCCTCCGGGTCGTCAGCATGTCTGGCACCGCGTGACCGGCCACAGTTGGTAGAGGTGAGGAAGCTCAGGTCAGAGTTATGCTTTGCTTGTTTTTCCCTCTTTCTTTCACTGTTCCATTTTATGTTTTTAAGTAAGTTCCTCCAGCCTAATTCCATGTTACCACAGAACCTGTATTAATTATGTTGTACTCTTTCAAGTCTTAGTGGCTACAAGATGATGTTCCCACTTAAAAGCATAAACACGAGTACCTATAGCAACAAACAACACCAAATGAGTCACAGTTTCCATACGCCAATACAGGTGCTCCTTGTGGTTATCCAGAATACAGCCACACTGTTTTTTGGGGTTTTTTTCATGCTTGTGAACTGTTACAGACTCCATTCAGTCAGCAGCAGGGCGCTCAGAGTTTTATCTGCCCTCTGATTGGCTTTTAGAATGATGCTTTGCAGGCGTCGGGGTTCTGGATGACAGAAAGCTCCACAGACCTCCATGCGTGGTCGGCAGCCCAAGCCAGGAGCTCAACAGACCACATCAGTTTGCTGGAGGCCCTGGACTGACTCACATCATGGTGCGGTTGATGAGGTCAGACAGTGAGCGCTGCAGCTGGCTCAGAGATAAAACTAAAGCCCAAATGTGTCTGACACCATCGCCTGACTATTTTTATTTGTGACATCGATACAACCAAATCCCGAGACCCTCATACCCACACTCGTAACTCAACTTACATGACGTGTAACAGACATTAAAGATTACAACACTGCTGCAACTCCAAAAACAACAAAACGTACTGTGTTACCAATAAGTACTATGTAGCCGACTTCAAGTTACAGCTTTACGGAACATAAAACAACACTGAGAGCTGTTCCCTCGCTCAGAGGAGGTCTGACAATTCGCATTTTTTAAAACCTTTCAACTCAAAACAAAGACAAGACAAACAGGTCAAAAAACAAGAGTGATTAAATGTCCATAATAGGAGGCAGGTGAGGCATTAACAGCAAAGCAAAAGATGTTTTATTGTAGGAAAAATGAAGAAACTACAGATATTTTATGATCACGTTTAATTTTAATCAGATTCACCTTTTATGTTTTTTTATTTAAGATGTTTTTTGGGTTTTTTTTTATATTAAACTCAACATTTTTCTTAACTCATAATGAACTGGTTTGTGGTTCTGTCACACTAGAGTAAAAACTGGATGCCTGCCCCTTCCTGAGCCTGGTTCTGTCAGAGGTTTCTTCCTCTTAAAAGGTAGTTTTTCCTTCCCACTGTTGCCTAGTGCTTTCCCGTAGGGGGTCATCTGCATGATTGTAGGGTCTTTGTCTTGCAATATAAAGCACCTTGATGTAATTGTTGTTGTAATTTGGTGCTATATAAATAAAATAAAATTGAAATGAATCAACTACATTGATTTTTTTCGAACTTGATGTCTGATTGCAAATATCTGCAGCGAGAGGTATTCAACAGCCTCAAAATTTCGGGCAGATACTTTTATTCATATGCTGGATCACCTGGTGGGAGGTAACCTGTCTCCAAACAATGGCAGTCTGACACTGACTTAATGCAATCATTCTCGAAGAGATTGCCAACACATTGCAATCGATCTGAGCCAGTTTGGAGCTTGTCCTTCAATGTAACTCTTTGCAATAGCAGAAATGAACAACTGGTTGCCAGCTGGTTGTGTTCTGGTATAATGTTATATGTTTTTCTGCAGCTGAATTGTTCTTCTAGACTACACCACTCCTGTAGTTCTAACTACATCACTCCTTTTGTGGAAGATTTGGAAAAATTATTTCACATTTCTATTTAAGGTGAATTTCTGCATATGTACATGGCAACAGATTTGTGATTTTTCACTGATTTCACAGTTAATCGCTGTATTATCACAAACATTGCCACCTTAACCCCATTCATTTGTAGGCTGACAGCAGGCTGACTTTGTTTTGTTGACATCCTGACGCACAATAGTCGCTTTGAAGCCTGCAGCTGACTGCTAAATGTCACACACCTGGTCCATGTCTAAGAAGGAACCATTTCAAAGCCATCGTGTATCCGAATAATCCGAATAATACTGGTCGTGTCGCAGTATCCAACCACTGGTTTCCCTAGTGTGTCTATAGCATTATTTTTGCAATCAGGAGACGTAATTGCTGTTTTCCTTCCTCTGGTGTGAGATCAAGCTGTTTGGATTGTGCAGAAGTTTGTGCGTGTGTGTGTCTGTTTGTAACTTTTCACCCTAGTTCTGAATCATATTATTCACACGGCACACACAAGAAAATCCTGTACAGTTACTAAGTTTATCTGGTCAATGTGACATTTTCTGGCATAACTGAAATGATTTACAGGTACAGACTTTGGGGAAAGTGTTTTTTTTATGTCAGGGAAACTACACTATTAAAGAAAATAATAATTACATTCCTCATAAGAAGCTCTTTCATAAAACGACTTACATTAGGAGGTCTGAAGAACGGACAGACTTTTACAGACACAGCTGGAGGTGACCATAAGTCTCCTTGCTACTGCGCTGAGTGGTTAAGGGCTCATTACGCTGTAGGATGTAGAGCCTTAACAGGCACTGCACTGTCTTACCTGATGAAGTTATGTAACAGCAGCCAGTCGGCAAGTCACAGGGGTCTGAGCCAACACCTCATTAAATCTGTCGCTTCTATCGAAACCTCACCCCAGTCTGGTGGAGAGGACTCACTCCAAACCTGAAATTACAGCATTAAATTGCCTGAATTTTTGGTGTTAGGCAGACTGTAGCTCTGAACTCAAGGCAGAGGCCTAATAAATGGACCCACATCCTGCAGCATATTTAGTCTGCAAATTCTTGAGCCAAATTGGTATGTCATGGTGGATAACGCCGCCGAGTTTCCTGGAATCGTTGAACTCGGCGCAGAGGACATGAATACAAATTATACATCAAATGTTGTAGAAGTAATATGGTACAAAAAAATGTGTAGAAATGAGGCAAAACTTATTACTGTTGTAGATTCAATTAGTACCAGGCCTTGAGGTATTCGAGCTGAAGTTGGACTTGTCTAAAACTTAGAAATAACAGAATACCGATTAAACTGTTGCTGCTTTTTTCCTCTTTACTTTTATTTACCTGACCAAATTGCCCAACTTCATATCCCTGTAAAATCGCTCAAGGCGGCGTCAGTTATGGACACTGTAACGTGAACCTGCTCTTGTTGGAAAAACATAGCTATTATGTTAGAAGATTGATGAAAGGTGCACAAAGATATTCTCCGTGCAATAAGGGAAAATACCGTTTTTAAAACAACAATGCGGCCTTAGTGTCTCGCTAGATTACTCAGTATTATGCAAGGGTATTAATGAAAGCCCCCGCAAAGTCAGCGTTAGAAGTTATGGTTGATGGTTTTGCCATGTGTAAACTGTGAGTTCATTCTCGGATCATTTCAGACTATACAGCTGCTCTTTCAGTCACTCGCACCAGCTGGATGCGTTCAGACTCATTCACTCCAACTGAGTGGATGTTTCGCCTACACCTACACACCTCACTCTGTAGATGGAGACTGCTGTAAATCACTGCTTTAGTTTCTCGACACCCAGTCAGCTAGGCTGTGCATTTCCTTTCTTTCTGTTTTTCATACAAACCACCCCGATGCAACCTTTTCCTGTTTTTCTGACAGTTTTTGACTGTTTTTATTTTTAGCCATGCTAGCAGCACAACTTTAAAAGACATTACCTTTGCCTTGGTTCAGACATCTCACTGAGTACCGGATGGACTGCCATGAAAACTGATACAGACATTTATGTTCGCCAGAGAAGGAATTTTACAGACTTTGATAAGTCTCTAACTTTTTCTCCAGTGCTACCAATCTTTACATCGATTGGACGAAGGCACACTTTGACAGGTCAGAGGACGAGATGATAGGAAGGCAACTCAAATTTATACTTCTTACTGTTAAGGTATACAGAAAAGCATCTTTGAAGGCAGAACACAATAAACCTTGAAGCAGATGGGCTACAGAGGCAGAAAATTACACCAGGTGCCATTCCTGTCAGCTAAATCAGGAAACCAAGGCTGAAAATTGCACAGGCTCATCAAAATTGAATGAGAAGAATGTTGGCCAATAACTTCAGATTGCTGTTGGTGGTGTAATGATGTGGGGGCCTGTTAGTACCACCTATTATTTAAACACCACAGCCTACCTGAATATTGTTGTTAACTGTGTCCTCAGTGCATCCGTCTTCTGATGGCTCCTTCCAGAAGGACAACCAGCCATGTAAAGTAGAAATTATTTCTTTGGGATGTGGTGGAACGGGTGAATCGCATAATAGGTGCGCAACTGTTTCCAGCACCTTCTCTGTGCCAGGAAGATTTAAGGCAGTTCTGAAGGCAAACGGGGTCGGACCCAATATTAGTAAGGTGTAACTAGTGTCCTATGAGTGCACTTTACATCAGTGGATGTCAACGATTAAATTATGTATAAATTGTGTATTTGT